ATTTTGTTTTTTACACTATTGAAAAATTGCTGCATAATTTTATTTACAACACTTTATAAAATTAACCTAATACAATTCGGTTTGCAGGAGGGGAAAAAAATTGGAGCGTCACCCGCAGGATATTTCCCTAGCTCAGGTCACCACCTGGCTTTGGGTGAGACCACTGTCTCCGTGGGGCTGCACCGGGCTTCAAAGCAACAAAGGATGCTTCACCTTTGCTCCTGTGCATTAATGCATCAGGTGATTTCAAGTGTAAGCCCATGGTTATTTACTACTCTAAGAATCCTCATGCTTTGAAAGGTGTAGAAAAAAACACCTTACCAGTAATTTGGAGGTCAAACCGGTCAATGTGGATGACAGAGGAAATATTTATTGACTGGTTTAAGCAATAGTTTATTCCTGAAGTCAAGTTTTACCTGCACATCAAGAACCTTTCATTCAAGGCTCTCTTCATTCTTGATAATTCCCGTACTCATCTAGAAGCTTTGCTGGATGTGACCACACATGTAAAAGTTGTATTCTTACCTCCAAATACAACATCTTTAATACAACCAATGGATTGGAGAGTTGCTAAGTCATTCAAGTGTAACTACACAAGAAAAGTGATGAAAAAACTAGTTGCATCAATGGACTTTGATTCCAACCTGGTAGTACCAAGCTTCTGAATAATGTCTAATGTACTGCAGGGTAAAAGAAGCCAGAGATCCATTACAGAATTTATGCACACTCCAATACAACCATTGACTTTAGTACCAGAACCTCAACCATCCACTTCTGCCGACAGCCAGCAACCATCCACCTCAGCCCAGTAGGGCCACACCATGCATCTCCACACTCCTCATAATTGCTGACACACACCAACAACCACAATTTAAGGTAAATATTATTATTTCTAAATGTGCAAGATTTCAGGTATGTCTTGCTACTACTTCTTACACTTAGGTCACAATACACATGCATGTACAAGCATATACTACATATATATGCACACCCCTCTGGGTTTTCTTCTATTTTCTTACTAGTTCTTGTTCTTGTTTATTTCCTGTTATCTCCATGGGGAAATGGAACAGAATTCTTCCTCCGTAAGCCATGCGTGTTGTAAGAGGCGACTAAAATGCCAGGAGCAAGGGGCTAGTAACCCCTTCTCCTATATAAATTATTAAATTTAAAAAGAGAAACTTTCGTTTTTCTTTTTCAGCCACCCTGCCTCAGTGGGATACGGCTGGGTTGTTGAAAAAGAAAATTATTATTTCCTCTGCAGTTGTAGTCTTAAGCAACATTATCATTTTTATTTTTGTAAGATCTGGATGTCTAAAAAAAAGTTGTTTGGGTTTTACAGGGGGGGGGCCCAGGATTGTAGCCTTATTTATCCTATAAGTTCTTAAGTTTATATAACATGGATTTATCTAACATGGCATTTCCAGGAACGTAACTATCATCAATACATCTTTTATAGGGAGTGTTAAAACCACATGAGCCATACAGTGTGAGGGAATGAGACAGATTCAGTGCAAGGAAAGAGAGAGCAGTTCCAATTCTTTATATCACAACACCTCCCATGAAGAATATATTCCTAGCATTTTGAGCACAACCTTTGAACCCCCAAAAAATGCTACTTGTTACAATTATAGCCTCTCCTCGCTTAGCAACTTACTTGTTTACCGACCACTTGGACTTATGACCAGCTCTCCAGCCAGTATGCATACCTCTATATATTAGAGCTGATTTCCTCTATTCTGCTTATTACAGTATACAATACACTACTGTATAAACATTTAAAAATATCCCAGAAATGTTATAAATGGTGCAAAGGTGACATTAAAAAAATATCTAAAGATGGTTGACACAAACCCACTACCATTACAGTATGTTCCTCACTTAATGACTAATTTGCTAACTGACCTACTCTTAGAAATGGAACCTCGTCGTTAAGTGAGGAGAGGCTGTATTATGATCAAAATTAAGAGCTAAATCCACGAGGGTCATACAGCACTGTTAGAACTGATAAGACGTGCAAGTGTGATAGATATCCAGATTTACATTATTAATGCAGTATAGTATAAGGAAGCTACACAGATAACTCTCACGTAGGAGAAAAACTTGTGACGATGTTTCAGCCCACCTGAGATCATTAACTAATCACATGGTCCAAGTCAGATCGAAACGTCATTATAAATTTTTCTCCTATGTGAGGGTTATTTGTGTATTGTTCCAGTCATGATATTGTGCATTTTTATTTATAAGGGAACTAAAAGGTAGAAAAATAAACATTAAAAAAATATAAAAATAAAAGGTTTTGGCAGAGCTTGGACATCAGTAGGACATTTTCTGGCAATAGTTTAAAAAATGCTTATACTGTAACTTGTCGCTTGGTTGGTAGCGCACTCAGCTCACACACGGAGGTCAGTGGTTCGATCCCCAGTATGGGTGGACACAATGACTCAGCAGTAAAATTTGGTGTTAGTCAACTAGTGTGGGTTGCATCCTGAGGACAAAATTTACCTAATTTTTCCGAAATGCTCTGCATAACAAGGGGCTTTCTATATACTACTAGTGTATTTCACTGATGTCAGCTATGATCTGTATACCTTGTACATGTAAAAATAAAGATTATTTTTGAGTGATTCCTGTTGCTGGTGCAGAGCTGGTGAAATGTTTTGCATACACAGTAGGCTTCTTCAGTCAGATACAGAGGCAGCAGGTGTAGTAGTTAAATGAAGATGATGTAATCAGTCTATCAACCTTGGAGGAATAATATTTGAGATGGTCAGTCCCCCTCAGCCTGGAGAAGAGTTCAGCTTCATGGTCTGGAACAATGTGAAGCTGAAGTATGAAAACGAAGTCTTAATTACCATCGAAGATGAGGTGGAAGATCTCCAAGACATTGCTGGGGACAGGATTCACTAGTAGAAGTAAGAAGGCAGGTCCCTCTAAGATCTAACCCTTCTCACTCATAGCTAGTAGTTATGTGATGAAGTGTGAATCCCGTCCTCTGGAATGTCTTAGAGATCTTCCAGCTCACCTTCGACAGTAGTTAAGACTCCGTTCTCATGCCTCAGCTTTATAATGTTCTAGACAATGAACATAAGAAAGAAGGAACACTGCAACAGGCCTACTGACCCATGCGGAGCAGGTCCAAGGCCCCCTCCCTTCCCCGGATTAGCTCAATGACCCACCCAGTCTGGTCACCTCCACTCAAGGAAGGAGCATGCCACCAGACCCAGCAGCGCAAGCTAGTCAGGTCCAACTCGCACCCACCCACACCCACTCATGTATTTATCTAACCTATTTTTAAAACTACACAACGTTTTAGCCTCAATAACTGTACTCGGGAGTTTGTTCCACTTATCCACAACTCTATTACCAAACCAGTGCTTTCCTATATCCTTCCTGAATCTGAATTTTTCCAACTTAAAACCATTGTTGTGAGTCCTGTTTTGGCTGGAAATTTTCAGCACGCTATTTACATCCCCTTTATTTATTCCTGTTTTCCATTTATACACCTCAATCATATCTCCCCTAATTTTACACCTTTCAAGAGAGTGCAGATTCAGACCCCTCAGTCTATCCTCATAGGGAAGATTTCTGATACATGGGATCATCTTTGTCATCCTCCTCTGTACGTTTTCCAGAGCATTTATATCCATTCTGTAATACAGTGACCAGAACTGTGCAACATAATCTAAATGAGGCCTAACCAAGGATATATAGAGTTGAAGAACAACCTGAGGACTTCTATTATTTATACTTCTAGATATGAAGCCAAGAATTCTGTTAGCTTTATTGCGAACACTAATGCACTGTTGTCTTTGTTTTAGATTACTGCTAACCAGAACTCCTAAATCCTTTTCGCAATCAGTAGTATTAAGATCTACATTATTTAGTGTATATTACGCATGGTTATTTTCCTGTCCAACATTTAGAACTTTGCATTTGTCTATATTAAACTGCATCTGCCACTTCTCCGACCATTGCATCAGTCTATTCAAATCATCCTGGACGGCCTATTTTGGTGTCATCAGCAAATTTGCTTATGTCGCTATTTATTCCCTCGTCTATGTCGTTTATGTAAATTGTGAACAACAACGGGACCAACACTGACCCCTGAGGAACACCGCTTGTGACGTGCCTCCATTCTGATTTCTCCTCATTTATGCAAACTCTTTGCTGCCTATTTGTCAGCCATGCCTATACCTCCTATTCCGTGTGCCTTAAGCTTCCTCAGTAGCCTCTGATATGGAACTCTATCGAAAGCCTTACTGAAGTCCATATACACAATATATTCATTACCATGATCTACCTCCTCAAACACCTTAGTGAAAAAAAAAAAAATGCCCCTCAAGGAAGGTTCCTTGATGTTGGTGAGGGGCTCTTGATTTAGGGAATTGTATCTGTGCTCCAGTTCCCCGAATTAAGCCTGAATGCCTTCCACATCCCCCCCAGGCGCTGTATGATCCTCTGGGTTTAGCGCTTCCCCCTTGATTATAATAATAATAATTAGTGAAAAATGTTAATAAATTCGTAAGACATGAAGCTAAACTCTTCTCCAGGCTAACGGATTGACCACTTCAGATACCATTCCTCCAAGATTGATGGACTGATTACATCGTCTTCATTTCACTTCTACACCTGCTGCCTCTGTATTTAACTGAAAAAGCCTATTGTGTAGGTAAAGCATTTCAACAATAAAGATATGCAACTGTTGTACATGTATCTTAATCATCAACTTGTTTGTATTTTATACCATTTTCCACATGGAATCACCTTTCCTTCCTTGGAGAAACTTGTGGGGTTACCACTTAATTACATATTATTATCATAATAATTTCCTTCCTTCCTTGGATCAAGTCTGATTACCTCTCATTTCACAGACACTGATTCATTCAGTTTAACACTTCCTCATAAATATAAACATAATTAGATTAGTTTTCCATAACATAGTTTCTGAATGCAAGTGCACTAACTCGTCTAAATAAAAGTGTAAGACAAATATACAGTAGTAACGTACACAGCCTTTATTACAAGGTAACAAACAATTTTGTCGCTGATGTATGATAGCAGTGGGGCGAGTGGCTTCAAGCACAGCATACAGCTTACTTGTTAGTACGCATGAAATTTACACAAAATCGGGCGTACCAGTGCTTAAAATAGTTATGTCATTCAACTTAGTTGAATGGCTGTAATCTTGCTGGTGGTCACAGTTGTCTGGGGAATAACTTTTCATATCCCAGTAAAACCATATAAAATATGACTAAAATAGTCACTTTGCAATAGTTTTTTGAAGTTGTCCTTCAAGTGTGTCTGTATAATCCATTAAATTTTTTGCACGTTTCTGAATATAATTGAAGAAGTGTGCATTGGTGTTGATGGGCTCTTAATAAAAAGACTCAGGGCTAACCTTCTCTCTGAATCTAATAATACTTTTTAAATCACACACGGTTGTAAAATTTATATTGAAAGTATTTTATATTTTATGGACATACTTTAACCCGTAAACGGTCCAAGCAGATCTACGTTCACGTGTGTTGTGCTACAAAAGTAGATCTAAGTTTTTTTTACATATTTTCAATTATAACAAGAAAAAAGTAGATCGAAGTTTTTTTACACATTTTCAAATGTAGAAAAACAAAAAGATCTACTTTTTTTACATACTTTAAAATGTTGAAAAAATGTATATACAGTGGACCCCCGCATAACGATTACCCCGAATGCGACCAATTATGTAAGTGTATTTATGTAAGTGCGTTTGTACGTGTATGTTTGGGGGTCTGAAATGGACTAATCTACTTCACAATATTTCTTATGGGAACAAATTCGGTCAGTACTGGCACCTGAACATACTTCTGGAGTGAAAAAATATCGTTAACCGGGGGTCCACTGTATATGTTTGGACCGTTTACGGGTTAAGTACAGTTAATAGGTATCAATAATGTGTAAAAATAGACACTGTATGCCCTTGCCTGTACTATGCTTAAGCTTTTTTCCTTTTGTTTTTTTAATTACTGGGGTGCCTGTAGGGTTCTCCAGGAACTTTAGTAGAGCTGTTACATTAATAATTTATTGGAGTTTAGAAGTAATGCTGGATATTTTAACTTAATATAATAATATTTATGTTATTCATATAAACAGTTTTTTGTTTATTTTTATCAGCTATGCTGTCAGACTTGCTTTTCAAATGTTAAAACTACTTACCTACCCACTCACCCAGTGTTACAGTCAGTTACCAGTGAAGCAATAAGCTATGTCGGTCTGTTTTAAGGCATTGGTGATTTACTGTGTCTAGATTTACATTTGTTTCTCCGCACTATTTTCAGTAAAGTAAACTTAAGTAAACCAAGATTAACCATTTAGAATGTAACAATTATTATATTCATGGGGAGAGCACTTAACCATACAGGGTCGTACAGCAACTGAAACGGGAGGGTAATCAGCTTCAGTTCTAGGAAGGAGAGGTCATGTCTAATTCATTACATGAACAGCCTGCCTCATTGGTGTCAAGGAACCTCTCTTGAGAGACAAAGTATAACAAAAACAATCTCTTAAATTAAAAACATGTTTAGATAGGGTAGTATACACCATCCATCAAAGAGACATGGATATACATGTGTATTCTCAGTGGTTCCTCCTTCCTCAGGTTACAGTGCTACACTGGGTGTCATACAACATTATAACCCTAATCCCGGGCACAGTCACCACCCTGTGACCTCCACAGTACATTAAATTTCAGTACTGCAATATCTACACTTTTAATAATTTGAGTATTATGCTCACATTATTTAAAGGCCTAATTTCAATTTATAACTTGAAGTTCAAACATGCTTTACTTCAAATTAGTGTCGTCACAGGTGCTGTACGGCCCCTGTTAGTTTAGCACTTCTCCATGAATATAATAGTACATGCAATATACCACAGACTTCAACACACACTGATGTGCACATAGCTATGTACTAGTAGTTCTATATGACCCTGATAGACTTAGCAGTGTTTAATATATAAAATGAGAAAGAAGTATACCAAAGTAACTTTTCCAGAGTGGAAGAACAATGGAATGACTTAAAGAAGAAGGTAGCATTGTAGCACTTGTTACCTGTAAAAACTAAGATAAATACTGAAGACAGGACACCATGAGCTTACCTCTGCTTTTGTGGATACATATATGCACGAATTAAATAATTTGGTAGTCTTGGTACTATAGTGTGCAGCGGGATATAGTGGTGCTAGTATGACTATGCTAAATCTGAGTCTGTAAATGAATGCATTGCTAAGGTTCAGCTGTAATGCACAGTGTCCTTGCTGAGAACCTGACTTAAAGCTAATAATACCCTTGCTGTTAACTACAATCTAGATGACATATTCACTGGAAACTTTATGCTTGTTCAAGCATTGCATTAAATGAAGTCTTCCAAGAGATTTCCTGATGCTGGTGAAAGCCTCTTGATTCAAGGAGTTGGAGATTTGCATACCTTCCTTGGATCAAACCTGATTGCCTCCCATTCCTCAAGGGGCTGTATAACCCCTATGAGTTTAAAGTTTTCTCTGTGGAATATGTAACAAGGCTGGGAGTCTTATCAGGTGAGATTGAGGTTGAGAGCCTCAGTAATAGGTGAAGTCCTCAACAAAGCAGGAGCAGGCAGCGGGGATCTGGAAGACGTCGACCACTGGCTTGAGAGTTGGGTGGTAAGGATCTACACACAGCAGACGTACATAGCTGTAGCGCTGCACACAACTTGATTTGTAACATGGAGGCAGGTACTCACACCGCTTCCCTCCGTAGCTGCTGGCCCAGACACCCACAGCACACCAGGGTGACAACCAGAGGAAGCAGGAAGAATTCATTAGGTTAATGATGTACTTCCATGCATCTTCAAGGGGATGCCATGTTACCCATGAAGGTCTTATGATTCAAGAAATAAGAACTATTTCCCTGGACCAAACCTGATCACCACTTATTTCCAGGCACTATATGATCCCTATGAGTTTAATGCTTCCCTACAAATTTATTAATAATAAACAAAAGCTCATCAACAGCTGTAGATAAAAAAAACTTAATGTTTTGGTCTCTTAGACTATTATAAAACTGATAATCTGATTATGGTCCAGGAATGGTCTGATTTTCAATATATGGGTCATGAATTGGCAATTAGCACATGAAGAACCAAACCTTAACTCCTTGCTTACTGGATTATCTACACGAGTTAAGCATTTTGCATGCTGTGCAACATTACAGTGGTTAATCTGAAGTATGGATAGCAGGTACTCTATATCTCACCTGCAGGTCTCAACTCTCATGGTCTGGGGAAACTTGTCAGTGTTGAGGATGGCGACCCACTCCCCTCTGAGGTTCTGTGCCCAGCCAGGTCTTACATACTCAACGGTGCTCTCACACACAAAGTGTCCCTCCCGTCTGAGGTGGTGACGTGCACCAGACGAGGAACTGGACACAGGTGGATAAGCTTCTTAACCTATGATAACTAACCCACAAACTAGAAATGGAAACTAGTAAATGTTTCAGTTCATTCGGAATACTTATATCACTTAATGTATTAATTATGCATAATGTTACCTGAATTTGGCTTACCATAGATGAGCAGTATAGAAATAATAAAGATATGTATAACAAGTTGGGTGAGGAAAAAAAGTTGATGTAACAATTTTATCATGCACCAAAACCCATCCTATGGGTGATAGTCTCATACCCATCATGGGGTGGCAGTCAAAGGATTAGAGGTACATAATGGGTACAGGGACTGGGCCTCAACATTTTTGTTTACTAAGCAAGTTACTCTGGTAAGTAACTGTTTACAAATTCAGAACAATAGTAATGATTTTTATACAGTCAAGAATTCAGTCACAAATATACAGGATACATTCAGCATTACTAGATTGAATATAAAAGTGTTAGACTGCACTTTTTCTGAGTCCCTTCATAAAAGTTAACTTGGTCACACTTCAACCCTGTCTTACTTTATATTCCCTCCTTGCTGATGGCCCTGACTCTGACTTAGGCTCACTTTTTGACTTTGTCAGCAACTGCTTTAGTACATGAACTTTGACGTATAGCCTTTAGCGTCCCTTCCAGCCTTTTTTTCCCCCTTACCTGTGATCCCCTTTCAACTAGCTGTTCACAGACCCGGCACTACTCTCTGCCCTGCAGCGCTGCATAACCCTTGTCGGTTTAGCGCTTTATTTGGTTATAATAATCACACTTCAACAGCAGGTCCATTAAAAACCACTTTCCTCTATGCACTCCTATCTAACATCACACTAGCCTGCTGGATGCTCAAGCTCATAAAACTTAAAGCGTCATGCACCTCCTCCCTCTAACCATTCCTGGGTGACCCCTTACCCTTCTACCTTCCACCCGAGATTTATATAGTAGCCTCTTTGTAAACATATCTTTGTCCAGCCTCTACATGCCTAACCAACACCTGTCAACACTGAGTTATACCTTTGGTTATTACATAGTGCTTTATGATTTCTATGCTTTGAATTTTCTTAATGATATTGCATTGAGTTTTGATTATAATAATCTTCATGATATTCACATCACACATTGCTCTCAAACACGACATCTCTGCTGCCTCCAACCTCCTTTCCACTACAGCATTCAAGACCCATGACTCAGACCCACATGACAGTGTTGTTATCATGATACTTGGGTAAATTCTGTGTTTTGCCTTCATAGATGAACTTCTTTCTTTCCACAGGTACTTCAATTCACCACCCACCTATTTCCCTTCATCTGTTCTTTGGTTCACTTCATCTTTCACAGATTTATCTGCTGACATATTCATTTTCAAACAACCTCTTTCACCAATCGAATATTAAATGTATCAATACCTACACCTTTTATTACCCTCATTACCTTGCTCTATTCTACATTTGTTCACTTTTTATTTTGACTTTTTTTTTTTTTTTAACACTTTGACGGTCTCCCACTGAGGTAAAGTCACCTGATAAAACACTTAAACTGTCACACGTTCAGTCAGTCTTGCCAAAAGGGCGCCGACATCACAGTTCAGATTTATTTATTTATTTATTTTTATTTATTTATTTACAATTTGAGCACACATACAGAGGTACAAAAAAAATACAGATAAGAGCAGCATGCCAAAGCCACTTATACTATGCATAGCATTACGGGCTGGCTTAAAATTAACTTAAGATTAACTAAGCAATGATGAAATCAGTGATAAAACATTAATGTAAACAGATTACTATAAAGCACAAGTGAGTATTACAAAGACAGGTCATATGGTTGCATGCATTGTTGTACATTCAGTCGTATGGAGAATTCTGTTAGGTAGTGTATTTAAAAAATAGCAAAGTTAGATTGGGTTTTAGGTTAAACATTTATGTGATATAATTGTGAGAAACATTTAAGATATACAATTTATAAGGTTCAGTTATTCAGTATTTATTTGGTTTTGGGTGAGTAAGTGATCTTTGAGAAGAGACTTGAATTTATAAACAGGTATTGTTTCTTTTATATTTACAGGTAATGAATTCCAGATTTTAGGGCCTTTTATGTGCATTGAGTTTTTGCATAGTGTGAGATGGACACGAGGAACATCAAAGAGTGATCTGTGCCTTGTGTTATGGTCATGTGTTCTGTTGAGGTTGGCAAGGAGATGTTTGAGGGGAGGGTTAATATCAGAGTTAAGTGTTCTATGTATGTAATAGGTGCAGTAATAAGTATGGATGTTTTGTATGGTGAGTAGGTTTAGTGTATTGAATATTGGTGGAGTGTGCTGCCTGAAGTGAGAATTTGTTATCATTCTAACTGCAGCCTTTTGTTGGGTAATTAGTGGTCTGAGATGGTTAATTGTTGTTGAGCCCCATGCACAAATTCCATAGGTGAGATAGGGGTAAATAAGAGAGTGATATAGGGCCAGGAGGGCTGACTGTGGAGCATAGTACCATATCTTCGATAGTATGCCTACAGTCTTGGAATTTTTTTTATAAATTTGTTGTATATGTGTATGAAATTTGAGTCTATTATCAAGGTGGATTCCTAAGAATTTTCCCTCTGTTAGCTTTGTGATAGGTGATCCGTTTATCATTATGTTAAGAGGGACATCTGTAGCTCTGTTACCAAACTGAATGAAGTAGGTTTTGTCAATGTTTAGTGTAAGTTTGTCAGTCCTCATCCAGGTAGATATTTTCTGTAATTCGGTATTTACAGTATTGGCTAGCGTGACTGGGCTCGGGTGGGAGAAGACGTATGTAGTGTCATCTGCAAATAGTGTGGGTTTGAGTAATTGCGAAGCATTTGGTAGGTCATTTATGTATAGGAGAAAGAGAAGAGGGCCAAGGACACTTCCCTGTGGGACACCAACTACCCATCTTTGCTGGCACTGTACTTTCCACCTCCAGGACTCGAGTCCAGCATACCTTCCCAAATTTATCAACTAACATTTGTAATTTGCTTTTAGAATCAATTTAAAAACTCATCAGCAAAGAGTAACTGGGATGACTCCCACTTTGTATCAAGAGCAAACATCTTAGTCTCACTGCTCTTCCCAGTACCTTAGCATTTACTTCTTCCACAACCTCATCCATAAATATGTTAAACAACCATGGTGACATAACACATCCCTGCTGAAGCTCTACTTTCACTGACCCCTCAAGGAAGGTTCCTTGATGTTGGTGAGGGGCTCTTGATTTAGGGAATTAGATCTGTGCTCCAGTTCCCCGAATTAAGCCTGAATGCCTTCCACATCCCCCCCCCAGGCGCTGTATAATCCTCCGGGTTTAGCGCTTCCCCCTTGATTATAATAATAATAATCTACTTTCACTGAGAAATATTCCCTCTCCTACATACCCTAACCTGAGCCACACACTCAGCATAAAAACTCTTATTAACTGCTTACAGTAACCTATCACCTGTTCCATACATTTGCAACATCTGTCACATGGATTCCCTCTCCACTCTATCATATGCTTTTCTAAATCAATAAATGCTAACAGCTCAGTTTAAGCAAGTCACTTAATTTTGTTGGGTTATCCTGGTGGGTATTTACACTGTGTGATTATTCTACTTACCTGTACCTGTCCTCCTCACTTTCTATGCTTCAGTGTCAATGCTTGACCTACCTATTTCCTTCCCTTAATAAATCCTACTTGTTTCTCAATAATCCTGTTTTCTCTCTTACCACTGACCCTTTAAATAATTATTTTACCCTAAACTTGTATGGTATATTAAACGGTTATCGCCCTATAATTGTATATAATTACACTTACACACACACACACACACACACACACATTTGTGTACCATCTACGTCAGGCCCATACTGGAGTATGCAGCACCAGTTTGGAATCCACACCTAGTCAAGCACGTCAAGAAATTAGAGAAAGTTTGCAACAAGACTAGTCCCAGAGCTACGGGGATTGTCCTATGAAGAAAGGTTGAGGGAAATCAGCCTGACGACACTGGAGGCAAGGAGGGTCAGGGGAGACATGATAACGACATATAAAATACTGCGTGGAATAGACGAGGTGGACAAAGACGGGATGTTCCAGAGAAGGGACACAGACACAAGAGGTCACAATTGGAAGTTGGAGACTCGGATGAATCAAAGGGATGTTAGGAAGTATTTTTCAGTACATAGAGTAGTCAAGCCGTGGAATAGCCTAGAAAGTGAAGTAGTGGAGGCGGGAACCATACATAGTTTTAAGGCGAGGTATGATAAAGCTCATGGAGCAGGGAGAGAGAGGACCTAGTAGTAATCAGTGAAGAGGCAGGGCCAGGAGCTATGAATCGACCCCTGCAACCACAAATAGGTGAGTACACACAAAAGAAGACCGCAGACAGAGTACAGTCTAGGTGGCCAAAGACTGCAAACCTCACTCAAGGAAAATGATCTTGGGGTGAGTATAATACCGAGCATATCTCCTGAGGCTCACACTAACCAGATATGGGCGCCTGGCAAACCTGAGAATAGCGTTCCAATACTTCAGTAAGGAATCGTTCAAGACTCTGTACAACGTGTATTTCAAGCCCATACTGCAGTATGCAGAATCAGTTTGGAACACACACCTGGTCAAGCACATCAAGAAATTTGAGAAAGTGCAAAGATTTGTAACAAGACTAGTTCCAGAGCTAATGGGAATGTCCTATGCAGAAAAGTTAAGAGAAATCAGCCTGACGACACTGAAGGACAGGAGGGTCAGGGGAGACATGATAACTACATACAAAATATTATGAGGAATTGACAAGGTGGACAGAGACAGGCTGTTCCAGAGATGGGACACAGAAACAAGGGGTCAGAATTGGAAGTTAAAAACTCAGATGAATCGAAGGGATGTTACGAAGTATTTCTTTAGAGTTGTCAAGAAGTGGAATAGTCTGGCAAGTGACGTAGTGGAGGCAGGAACTACACACAGTTTTAAGACGAGGTATGTTAAAGCTCATGGAGCAGGGAGAGAGAGGACCAAGTAGCGACCAGTGAAGAGACGGGCCAGTAGTTATGAATCGACCCCTGCAACCAGAAACAGGTGAGTCCACGTAAGTACATTTAATGTTACCGTACCTGTAGTGGCGAGTGACATTCTCATAGTAGATAATATCGTGGGTGGGGAAGCGATACAGGTCGCCATATATGTGACGAATATCATTGTAGTATCGATCAATAATGGCATTAACCTTGTCTCTGTAAGAGAGAGAGGCGGTTAATATAGGACCGCTATTTTGGTAACGTGGTTAAAATACGATTGATAACTAAAATTAACATAAATAACGGATATAACTACATATACTTGGGGAGAAAGAAAATGAGAGGGGGATGAGTGAGAATTAAGATTATACATATACATACGTAACTTGTCTGTGGGGTATAGCATGTATGAGATTAGTTATGAGTGGGCAGTACCCAGAGTACTGCCCCAGTACTCACAGTGGGTAGTTACGATCATAGAGGCAGTAGTTGCTTGTTCCAGCACACTGTGGTCGTTGACCTCTCACCACCTGGGAGGTCACCACCTGGGAGGTCACAACCTCTGTGGTAGGAAAGATGTGGTCACTTCACCTGCTTCTAGCTTCACACAGCACAGTCCTAGCGTCACACCCAGTAACATACATATGTATACATACGTACATATATACTGTTATGTATGATAATCTATGTAACTGTATTTGTGTATACCTGAATAAGCTTACTTATACGCCTAGCACACACCTAGCACCACACACCTAGCACACACCTAGCACCACACACCTAGCACCACACACCTAGCACCACACACCTAGCACCACACACCATGCAACCACACACCTAGCACCCAACACCTAGCACCACACCTAGCACCACACACCTAGCACCACACACCTAGCACACACCTAGCACCACACACCTAGCACAACCTAGCACCACACACCTAGCACCACACACCAAGCACCACACACTAGCACCACACACTAGCACCACACACCTGCACACACCTAGCACCACACACTGCACAACCTAGCACCACACACTAGCACCACACACAAAGCACCACACACCTAGCACCACCACCTAGCACCACAACCTAGCACCACACACCTAGCACCACACACTAGCACCACACCAAGCACCACACTCTAGCACACACTAGCACCACACACCAAGCACACCACCTAGCACACACACCTAGCACCACACACCTAGCACCACACCTAGCACCACACACTAGCACCAACCTAGCACCACACACCTAGCACCACACCAAGCACCACCACCTGCACCACACACCTAGCACCACAACACTAGCACCACACCAAGCACCACACACCTAGCACCACACACCTAGCACCACACACCTAGCACCACACACCTAGCACCACACACCTAGCACCACACACCTAGCACCACACACCTAGCACCACACACCTAGCACCACACACCTAGCACCACACACTAGCATACACACCAAGCACCACACACCTAGCACCACACCAAGCACCAACACCTAGCACCACACCAAGCACCACACACTAGCACCACACACCTAGCACCACAACCAAGACACCACACTAGCACCACACACCTAGCACACACACCAAGCACCACACACAGCACCACACACCTAGCACCACACACCTAGCACCACACACCAAGCACCACACACCTACACCACACACCAAGCACCACACACACTAGCACACACACCTAGCACCACAACCAAGCACCACACACCTAGCACCACACGTCTAGCACTATTTTTAGCACACAGCACCACATGCCCAGTACCATACGCCTAGCACACACCTAGCACCACACACCCAGCACACACCTAGCACACCTAGCACCACACACTTAGCACACACCTAGCACCACACACTAAGCACACACCTAGCACCACACACCAAGCACCACAACTAGCACCACACACTAGCACCACACACCTAGCACACACGTCTAGCACTATTTTTAGCACACAGCACCACATGCCCAGTACCATACGCCTAGCACACACCTAGCACCACACACCCAGCACACACCTAGCACCACACACTTAGCACACACCTAGCACCACACACTTACCTGGAATTTACCTGGAGAGAGTTCCGGGGGTCAACGCCCCCGCGGCCCGGTCTGTGACCAGGCCTCCTGGTGGATCAGAGCCTGTTCAACCAGGCTGTTGCTGCTGGCTGCACGCAAACCAACGTACGAGCCACAGCCCGGCTGATCAGGAACTGACTTTAGGTGCTTGTCCAGTGCCAGCTTGAAGACTGCCAGGGGTCTGTTGGTAATCCCCCTTATGTGTGCTGGGAGGCAGTTGAACAGTCTCGGGCCCCTGACACTTATTGTATGGTCTCTTAACGTGCTAGTGACACCCCTGCTTTTCATTGGGGGGATGGTGCATCGGGCTGCCAAGTCTTTTGCTTTCGTAGTGAGTGATTTTCGTGTGCAAGTTCGGTACTAGTCCCTCTAGGATTTTCCAGGTGTATATAATCATGTATCTCTCCCTCCTGCGTTCCAGGGAATACAGGGGTTTTGGAAAACCCCAAGCGCTCCCAGTAATTGAGGTGTTTTATCTCTGTTATGCGCGCCGTGAAAGTTCTGCCTTGAAAGGTGCTGTTAGTGTGCAGCAATATTCCAGCCTAGATAGAACAAGTGACCTGAAGAGTGTCATCATGGGCTTGGCCTCCCTAGTTTTGAAGGTTCTCATTATCCATCCTGTCATTTTTCTAGCAGATGCGATTAGCACACACCTAGCACCACACACCAAGCACCACACACCTAGCACCACACACCTAGCACCACACACCAAGCACCACACACCTAGCACATCTCTCCCCAGTCTCACTTTTAACTCATCAAAGACCTTGATGCTGGTGAAGGTATGTTGAGTCAAAGACCTGAAGCTATACCCATCATAAGCACTGCATAACATACGGCTTTAGTACTCTCCCGAGAATGTACCAATAACCAATACTAAATAATAATAATATTAGGACACTAACCTGGTACAGAAATGGAGGCTGGATGGAGTGTGGGCAGACGGAGGCCCACAGGACCAGGTACACTGCCCACAGCTGCTGCAACAAGAACAGTCGTATTTTATGATGCTGAGATAGTGGGGCTCTTCATCCAAGGAATTGGACTTGCTCCTCTTTGATGGAAACTGATTGCTTTCCATTCCCTCTCTCCAAAGTGCTGTGTATGACCCCCACGGGTCATACACAGCGCCTTTGTGGTTGCAGAAGTCGAGTCATCACTCCTGTACTCACCTAGTTGTGGTTGCAGAGGTCGAGTCATCACTCCTGTACTCACCTAGTTGTGGTTGCAGAGGTCGAGTCATCACTCCTGTACTCACCTAGTTGTGGTTGCAGAAGTCGAGTCACCACTCCTGTACTCACCTAGTTGTGGTTGCAGAGGTCGAGTCACCACTCCTGTGTTCACCTAGTTGTGGTTGCAGAGGTGTATGACCCCTACGGGTCATACACAGCGCCTTTGTGGTTGCAGAAGTCGAGTCATCACTCCTATACTCACCTAGTTGTGGTTGCAGAGGTCGAGTCATCACTCCTGTACTCACCTAGTTGTGGTTGCAGAGGTCGAGTCATCACTCCTGTACTCACCTAGTTGTGGTTGCAGAAGTCGAGTCACCACTCCTGTACTCACCTAGTTGTGGTTGCAGAGGTCGAGTCACCACTCCTGTGCTCACCTAGTTGTGGTTGCAGAGGTCGGTCAACCACTCCTGTACTCACCTAATTGTGGTTGCAGAGGTCGAGTCATCACTCCCGTATCACCTAGTTGTGGTTTTCAGAAGTCGAGTCACCACTCCTGTACTCACCTAGTTGTGGTTGCAGAGGTCGAGGTCACCACTCCTGCACTCACCCGTTGTGGTTGCAGAAGTAGAGTCACACTCCTGTTTCTCACCTGTTGTGGTTGCAGAGGTCGAGTCACCACTCCTGTACTCACCTAGTTGTGGTTGCAGAAGTAGAGTCACCACTCCTGTACTCACCTAGTTGTGGTTGCAGAAGTCGAGTCATCACTCCTGTACTCACCTAGTTGTGGTTGCAGAAGTCGAGTCATCACTCCTGTACTCACCTAGTTGTGGTTGCAGGGGTCTAGTCACAGCTCTTGGTCCCTTCTCTTCACTGGTCTCTACTAAACTGTCTTAGATACATTGTAAACAAGACATTAAGAATGCGTCACACGCCACAGTCTGCTCTGACGTGAAATCCTATGTTATACATGTCTCTACCTCTCTCTTGTGCTGTATTCAGATCATGGTTTACGTGAGGGATGATGGTAGTAATAGTCGTAGTGGTAGTAACAGCAGTAATAGTAGCCGTAGTCTTGTAGTATTAACAACATTTACCGAACACCTTAATCACGTAGATCACTCAGCACTCATAGCCATAAAATACAACCACAAAATAAACAGATAAAATCAAACAAAATCCTCTATCATCAACACTAAACACAGATAAATGCTATCACACTTAAGTTAAAAGAATCTGTGATAACTGAGCATCTTACAGGACTTCAATATAGGGTTCGATGCTCCAGATGCCACATTATGTACTAATTTGGGTAAATTTACAAGAGTTTATATTTACAATCACCTAAGAGAGAGTCTGTACTGTATAAAACCTACTCAATTTTGTCACTGCCTTATTTAGTCTTAAGTTCGCCCGAAATGCTCTGCATATTAAGAGATTTCGTTCGGATTTTTAACCCCGGAGGGTTAGCCACCCATGATAACCCAAGAAAGTCAGTGCGTCATCGAGGACTGTCTAACTTATTTCCATTGGGGTCCTTAATCTTGTCCCCCAGGATGCGACCCACACCAGTCGACTAACACCCAGGTACCTATTGCTGCTAGGTGAACAGGACAACGGTAGGGAAACGTGTCGAAATGTTTTCCACCCGCGGGAATCGAACCGGCCCTCCGTGTTGAGCGGGGGCTTTAGCACCGGCACCGGGCACGAGAGGGTTTCATGTGTAATTATCGTGTAATTTATAAGAATTGAAAATTTGAAGCCCATCAGGTAGTCATTCTTTAGTTTTTGCACAGATTTTAACCATTCAAGTTTTTGTTTTTAATTATTTACTAATTCCGAGAGGATTGGAACTTTATCTGGAGGGAGGGACTTATACTTACTAGGGAGGGACCTTTCATACACTAGGGAAGGCCTTATACTTACCTAGGGAGGACCTTATACTTACATAGGGAGGGACCTATACTTACACTAACGAGGGGGCCTTATTTCTTTCACTGGGGGACCTTATACTTACACAGGGAGGGACCTATACTTACACTAGGGAGGGACTTATACTTACACTACGGAGGGACCTTATACTTCACAGGGAGGGACCTTGTACTTACTACGGAGGACCTTATACTTACACTACGGAGGGACTTATACTTACACAGGGGACCTTATACTACACTAGGAGGGACTTTACTTACATGGGAGGGACTTATACTTACACTAGGGAGGGACTTAACTTACCTAGGGAGGACCTTATACTTACACTAGGGAGGGACCTTATACTTACACTAGGGAGGGACCTTATACTTACACTACGGAGGGACCTTATACTTACACTAGGGAGGGACCTTGTACTTACACTACGGAGGGACCTTATACTTACACTACGGAGGGACCTTATACTTACACTAGGGAGGGACCTTATACTTACACTAGGGAGGGACCTTATACTTACACTAGGGGAAAGGGCCTTTACTTACACTAGGGAGGACCTTTACTTACACTAGGGAGGGACCTTATACTTACACTAGGGAGGGACCTTATACTTACACTAGGGAGGGACCTTATACTTACACTAGGGAGGGACCTTATACTTACACTACGGAGGGACCTTATACTTACACTGGAGTTTACCTGGAGTTTACCTGGAGAGAGTTTCGGGGGTCAACGCCCCCGCGGCCCGGTCTGTGACCAGGCCTCCTGGTGGATCAGCGCCTGATCAACCAGGCTGTTGCTGCTGGCTGCACGCAAACCAACGTACGAGCCACAGCCCGGCTGATCAGGAACTGCCTTTAGGTGCTTGTCCAGTGCCAGCTTGAAGACTGCCAGGGGTCTGTTGGTAATCCCCCTTATGTGTGCTGGGAGGCAGTTGAACAGTCTCGGTCCCCTGACACTTATTGTTGGTCTCTTAACGTGCTAGTGACACCCTGCTTTTCATTGGGGGGATGGTGCATCGTCTGCCAAGTCTTTTGCTTTCGTAGTGAGTGATTTTCGTGTGCAAGTTCGGTACTAGTCCCTCTAGGATTTTCCAGGTGTATATAATCATGTATCTCTCCCTCCTGCGTTTCCCGGGAATACAGGTTTAGAAACCTCAAGCGCTCCAGTAATTGAGGTGTTTTTATCTCCGTTATGCGCGCCGTGAAAGTTCTCTGTACATTTTCTAGGTCGGCAATTTCACCTGCCTTGAAAGGTGCTGTTAGAGTGCAGCAATATATTCCAGCCTAGATAGAACAAGTGACCTGAAGAGTGTCATCATGGGCTTGCCTCCCTAGTTTTGAAGGTTCTCATTATCCATCCTGTCATTTTTCTAGCAGATGCGATTGATACAATGTTATGGTCCTTGAAGGTGAGATCCTCCGACATAATCACTCCCAGGTCTTTGACGTTGGTGTTTCGCTCTATTTTGTGGCCAGAATTTGTTTTGTACTCTGATGAAGATTTAATTTCCTCATGTTTACATATCTGAGTAATTGAAATTTCTCATCGTTGAACTTCATATTGTTTTCTGCAGCCCACTGAAAGATTTGGTTGATGTCCGCCTGGAGCCTTGCAGTGTCTGCAATGGAAGACACTGTCATGCAGATTCGGGTTTTCATCTGCAAAGGAAGACACGGTGCTGTGGCTGACATCCTTGTCTATGTCGGATATGAGGATGAGGAACAAGATGGGAGCTAGTACTGTGCCTTGTGGAACAGAGCTTTTCACCGTAGCTGCCTCGGACTTTACTCTGTTGACGACTACTCTCTGTGTTCTGTTAGTGAGGAAATTATAGATCCATCGACCAACTTTTCCTGTTATTCCTTTAGCGCGCATTTTGTGCGCTATTACGCCATGGTCACACTTGTCGAAGGCTTTTGCAAAGTCTGTATATATTACATCTGCATTCTTTTTGTCTTCTAGTGCATTTAGGACCTTGTCGTAGTGATCCAGTAGTTGAGACAGACAGGAGCGACCTGTTCTAAACCCATGTTGCCCTGGTTGTGTAACTGATGGGTTTCTAGATGGGTGGTGATCTTGCTTCTTAGGACCCTTTCAAAGATTTTTATGATATGGGATGTTAGTGCTATTGGTCTGTAGTTCTTTGCTGTTGCTTTACTGCCCCCTTTGTGGAGTGGGGCTATGTCTGTTGTTTTTAGTAACTGAGGGACGACCCCCGTGTCCATGCCCCCTCTCCATAGGATGGAAAAGGCTCGTGATAGGGGCTTCTTGCAGTTCTTGATGAACACAGAGTTCCATGAGTCTGGCCCTGGGGCAGAGTGCATGGGCATGTCATTTATCGCCTGTTTCGAAGTCATTTGGCGTCAGGATAACATCGGATAGGCTTGTGTTAATCAAATTTTGTGGCTCTCTCATAAAAAATTCATTTTGATCCTCGACTCTCAGTCTGGTTAGCGGCTTGCTAAAAACTGAGTCATATTGGGACTTGAGTAGCTCACTCATTTCCTTGCTGTCATCTGTGTAGGACCCATCTTGTTTAAGTAGGGGCCCAATACTGGACGTTTTTTCTCGATTTTGATTTGGCATAGGAGAAGAATACTTTGGGTTTCTTTCGATTTCATTTATTGGCTTTTAGTTTTTCCCCGCGATTCCTGACTCCTAAAGGATTCTTTTAGCTTAAGTTCGATGCTTGCTATTTCTCTGACCAGTGTCTCCCTGCGCATTTCTGATATATTGACCTTTTTAGCCGCTCTGTTATTCTTTTCCGTCGCCTGTAAAGGGAGCGCCTGTCTCTTTCTATTTTACATCTACTCCTCCTTTTTCTTAGAGGAATAAGCCTTGTGCATACATCGAGTGCCACCGAGTTAATCTGTTCTAGG